AGGTACAAGGAGATGGCCGCTTCCAAGGGCAAGCCATTCCCATTTAAGCATGTTTGGTCAATTCTTCAAACCTTTGACAAGTGGAAGTTGAGGGATCAAGAGACCGCACCCAAGAAGTCGGCAATGCTAAGGATGGACGATAGTGAAGATGAGGAGGAGAGGAACGTGGGAAAGCCCGAGGGAAACAAGAAGGGCAAGCTAAGGGTGAAGATGGAAGAAGAGGCGTCAAGCCTAAGGGAGAAGATGGACCACATGATAAAGGCAAGAGAGGAATTGACAACGAAGACATTGGAGATGAAGCTTCTTATCACCGAGAAGAAGAAAGAGGTCAAGCTTGCACAAGTTGAAGCAAAACGTGAAGAAGCAAAGCGCAAGGCCGAGTTGGAGGAGAGGATGATCAAGCTCAAAGAGGCAAAGGTATGGAAAGAACTCATGGTGGAAGAGAAAGAGCACATGATGATGTCCAAGAAGGACATGGATCAAGACCAATTGCAATGGTGGAAGGACTACAAGGAGGACATCGCGGAGAGGAAGAGGATGTTTCGTGTTGCGTCCTCTACTTTTCGAGGTGACACTCCGATGAGTAGTTGTGGTGATGGCGGTGTGTACGACTCCATCGGTGGCGATGGACATGCTTGATGGAGCCCGCTTGTGGTCTAGGAGATGGCGCCGAGGTGCAACTTTTGGTGATGGTGCCGATGAGAGGAGGAAGATGATGATTTTGTGATGTAAACTATTAAACCATGCATCAATGATTGTCATTTGGTAGTTTGTTTGGAAGTTGATTGTGTTCTTGTTGTCATAAATTGTGAGATGCCAAATGATAGATTTAAAGGTTGGGGTTGAGGCAAAGACTAGAACCCTCAAATCCAACCCTTAAAGCAGTTTACGGGTTGGGTTTGAGGGTTCTAGTATTTGCCCCTGTTTTTCAACCCTTAAAAGTGTCAAAAAGTGGCACTTCTCAACCCTTAAAAGTGCTTTGAGGATTTGAGGGTTTGAGGGTTCTACTAGTAATGCTCTAAGGGGCTGTTTGGTTGCCGGCCGCACCTTGCCACACCAAAGGTGCGGCGCGCCACAGCTCCCTAGGCTGCCGTTTGGTTTCCAACGAAGGTTAGGCTCGCCACAACCTGCAGTGTGTTTTGCAGCAGACTTTTTTGCCAAAAGTGTGGCGCTTGTTTTGGCCGCCACACTCCGCGGCACGCCACAAGTGTGGCTAGATAACTGTGGCAATTTAAGACACCAACCAAACAGCCCCTAACTTTATTTGCCAAACTTTGCCACACTTGTTGTCATTTTGTTTGCCACAGTACTCGCAGCAGCCATATTTTACATGGGTTACTTGTGGCAATGATAGGCATCAACCAAGCATGCCCGTTTTGTGTTGTTAATATAGTGCAGAACGTGAATTATATGTATTTGGTCCAGGCATACTATTTTAACAGGAAATAAGCATGCCATTAATAGTTTAACTGATGAGACTCGGTACTGTCCATAAGGCATGATTGTCCTTTTTCAATGCTGTTTGAGTGTTTGGAAATACTCTGTTGAGGATATGGAAAATATTATGGTCAGAAGCCTCTAACTGATGAGCTACCAGGTCTTCTGGTTGCCCCTTTTCACTATTACTCTTTATATAACAACGCGAAACCAGAAAGAAACATATATTTTCTCAAACATATTCACTGTCTTATTGATATAACCAAGGATAAGATCTTTTAAAATGGTAAGCTTACCTAAACTTTTGCACTGTGTTTGGTTCTCTTCACTACAGTTTCCTGTCATGCGTAGAGAGTAACTACTGAACTTTTGTCGTGGAAAAGCAAAACTTGGTATATTTTCTTAAGGGCTGTTTGATTTTCTGTAGTCCAACTTTTGGGATGCCAGTAGTTCATGTTGTTTGAATGCCAATAATTCATTTTGTTTATAGAAGAAAATGGTAATGACAACGATACATGAATTCCCTCTGGAGTTTCACTTGTGTTTGTTTTTAAATTTGTTCTTGTACCTATGCAGGTTTGAATAAGCGGACGACATCTGACGGACTGAGGGAAGCCTTCTCGAAATTTGGCCAGGTTACTGACGGTAAGTGGTTCTCAGCTCTGTAATTAATTCCTATCTGTACCACTACTAAATCCATTTGTCACTATATTTGCAGCAAGAGTCATCACTGATAGAATATCTGGATACTCTAGAGGGTTTGGCTTTGTGAAATATGCAACCGTAGAAGAAGCCGGTGAGGGCATAAAAGGCATGGATGGAAAGGTGAGTCATTATATTGATCAGATAATGCACTAGCTGGATGGTTCATGGTGTGGTAGGGAACACTTGTTCTTGTTGGAATAACATATGCATAATCATGTCCTCATGGTCGGTGTTCTCATGGGAACTCGGAAACAGATCAGTTATTAGCTGATGTTTCTTGCTTATTATGTTGGTCTAGGTGACAATAAACATTGCCTACACTGTAGCTTAGCAACTTTTAATCTACTCTTGTGACACTAGCCCCTTTTTTGGTGCAGTTCCTTGATGGTTGGGTGATATTCGCGGAGTACGCCAAGCAGAGAGAAGCCCAGCAGCTGCCACAATCAGCTGGGACACAGTCATCTGGCTACCAATACCCTAGCTAGTTAGTTCTCTCGATCAGAAATGGCTTGTTTTAAATTTATAGCTACCAATTGGAAGTCGATTTCCAATAAGTTGTTGGGGAAGGGATAAAATCTATTGTTTGTCGATTGAACTGTTCCAGTACGTTTATGGAATTAATCATAGTTTCACCTGTGTGCTTGGCTGTTGCCTGCTGGCTAATGCTACTTTGTGTACGAGTGTGTAGCTGTAACATACGCCACTAGCTATAATTTAAAACTTCGTCACAGATACAATCAGTGTGTACTCGCAGTCAGGCTCTGTACAGCTTATCCAGAAGCCCTGCGTGTGTTTGTGTCTATGCAGTCTTGTGCTGCCTGCATTGGTGTACCCATACCAGCTGGAAGATCAGCTGCATTGCAACAGTAAACTGCCAGCGGTAAAACTGACGCTATATGCAGGTATGCATGATGTTTATCTATACTAGTACTTGAGAAAAAAATAGATTGGTCTTAATAAAATTTTCATCCAGAATGTAGATGATATACATCTAACTATCAGCTATTCAGGGAGAAACAAAACTAGTAACTTTATATATAAAAATATTGTTTCAAGTCAGCAGTAGAGAATGAGCATCCAACACAAAAGCTTGAAAACCAAACTTAGAGGAACCTTGTGGAGCCTCAGATCCAGCAACTCAAGATGGGAGAAATAGTACAGTACGCAAAGTGGTTCACTCCCCAAGCAAAAATCTACCATACTCAGGACTGGCCGCCATGGATCTGAGCGTCAAGCAAAGCGAGTAGTTGGCTTTAACCTCTCTATAAAGTTGGAGTGCCTCCTCCATGACCTTGTGTTGCGACAAGAGCTGCAATCTTGCCTCGGTGGAAGGATGAGTGGCGCATGCTTTCCTTGATCCTAGCTTTTCCTTGATTGTTTCGATGGTTGCCGGGCTACGCGTGGATCGTAACCAGCAGCGCCGAGCAGTAGGATTCCAATGTGATCTGCCTCTAGCTCCTGCCTATATGAACATCATTAGAAAGGCCTCTAGTCTCTAGACATATATGATGCTTGCATATACAAGTGACAGTAAATTTGTGAATGCATCACATAATGCGAGATGACCATGGAATGCGAGGTATTGAATTCAATATATACGTACCTTTGTAGCAAGTAGTGCCTAAGGCAGGACGGAAACCAGCTCCTCCTGTAAAGGTTCCGCTCCACTGAATGCCTTGCAACAATGTGCCCAATCTATAAGCATACAGAAAAATAAAGGAGGTTCAGAAGTAGTACTATTAGCATGGACCCTCCCAAGATTAAGCACAAATGAAGAACTTAACATACCTCGTGTGCAATAATAGAGGCTATCTCCTCATCGGTCTTGAGAAGGTCCAAAGCACCCAGTGTGCAGGATAATCTTGCCACTAGGCGTGCTGCGAGCTCTGAACTCCCTATCTCGGACAAGGATGACGTCCCAGTCGAGGCCCTCGAGATGCGCCGTGTGCCGACGTGCCGCCTCTGGACTACCCCCTTGCTTGAGGCTCTTGATGGTGAGGCCTCGGTGGATGGCCCGGACGAGCTCGGAGGTGATGCGGTAGACCCGGACGCTCTCGGGGTGGAGCCGGTCGACCATGTTGGAGGCGCCGTACATCTCCCTGACATAGCGGAACGCGAAGTCACCCAGCCGGCGCTCGTACTCGATGGAGCGGACGATCAAGTGCTTGCGGTTGGTGTAGGGCACTGTCTCGAGGTATAGGCTGCAGACCGCGATCGCCGCCGCCGCGCCGCTAGAGACGAGAGTCGCCGCCGCCGCCGCCGCCGCCGCCGCGGCGACCTTCCACCGCCGGGAGTGCCTGCCTGCGATGTGGGTCGCCGGTCTCTGCGAAGAACTGCTGCACTTGTGCCGATGGAGCGGCGGCGCAATCTGTTTGAGTAAGGTTTGCTCATTAGAGCCCACGACTTGTGGTCGCCTCACGGCGGCGTGGTAGAGCTGGTGCGAGGGCGGGAGACGGAAGGAGCGGAGGAGATGGGAAACGACGGAGCTCATCATGTTCGAGCTTGGGGGAGCGTTTGTGTTGGCCTTATATCGACCTGCGCGCGTACACGGGATACGTACCGTACCTGTGGCAATCCGTCCCGGAGAAAATCAGCCTGCCACGGCGTGTGCTAGCTGTGTTGCTGAGTTCGATTCGAACCTGTTTTGTTAAACTTGGAGAGTTATAATCAATGTGCGCAGGTAATAAGGGCATCTCCAACATGTACTATCACCAAACAGACATCATCCAAGTCCACCGGATGTGTCCACGGACATGCATCCTATGCGGCGGAGCTCATTTAAGTGGAGTCATCAAATATAACTATATAAGCGGGCACCAAATTTTCGTTGATTTTACGATTAATTTTCACATAGCAAAAGAACCCTAATTCTACTCTACTCCTTGTCGGAGGTGAGATCACGGATCCATGTTCCGACCACGTTGGCAGCTGGCGCGAACAAGGCGGAGCTAACAAGTTGTGCTGCTCCGACGCGCCATTGTCCTCCGCCTCCATCCCCGAGAAGAGCCGAGCACACTTTGCCTCGTTGACACGGAGCTGCCAGCACTCGCGGCGGAGCGTGCATGCACTTTCCATGGACGTGACCACCGCTTGGTTGACATCGACAACGTCCGAGTCCACCTGAACAATGGCTGTGACGGCAGCGACAGACGCACGGTCGGCCTCCAGTTGCGTGCTCTTTCAGGAGTGGCAGGTTGACATGTTGTATTGCTGCCCCGCCTGCATCAGAGTAAACCGGGACGTGGCGTGGCGTCGACGACCATCTCCTCCTCCGTGAGGCCTCCTTCTCCTCCTCCATCGGCTACACTTCCACCTGCTCCGCCATGGCCATCCAAGCGTCCTCCTTCTCCATCTCCTCCTCCTCTAGCTTCGACGAGCTCGAAGGTTATCCCGCCTTAATATGGGCCTGGCGCTCGTGGAGTCCTGTGAGACGGCCGCAACAGAAATTTCCTACCACCATGCCTATGTCTATGTCAAGACCTTAGATTAAGGGCATGTACAATGCATAGCTCCAGGGTGATGCCTCACATGCCACGTAGGATCGGATAACAGATAAAGTAGGTTCGGATAGGAAAGCGGGATCCTCTGCATGAGGCGGGTGCTTGAAAAGAAAAAGTGTCGTCCGATATCTGAGGATGGCAACCTAAGTTGTGAAGCATGGTAACTTTCTGTTTGATGGCAAGTTTCAGTTTTTTGGGTTTTTTTTATACAATTTTTACGTACGAGTGGTGTGATGTTATTTCGTGTCACACGTGTGCCACTTCTGATTTGGGTAATACCGATGGACACGTCTAGCTAGCGCCTAAGCGCCCGCTGGTCGTTCCGAGCGCCCACTGTCCCCAACCTCCTGATTCCTCTTACACAAAAGGAAGTTGATAATCTAACTTGCTTTTTAATTTTTGTTTCTTAAAAAAGCCATAACTTTTGAACCAAACATCAAAATTAAGATCCGCTTTCACTGCTGAAATCCTCGCGATGTGCTCTTCGAAACTAGATCCCGCATGGATATGTTTTGACAAACTTTTTTTTGTGCAATTTTGTCTCCGTTTTGTGCAACTGACTTGCAGTCGATGTGCAACTACCTAAGAGGGATGTGCAACTTTTCTCCTACACAGTGGACGTGTAGTTTTCAATGATTGTACCTCCACCCCCAAACTATCTCCTTCCATTGAGATGTGCAACTTCATTTCTTACCCATGCCAACTGCATAGTAGTTGATGTGCAACTTTCTTCCTGCCCATGGATGTGTTTCACTGTTTGCTGCATCGGCCAACAGCCTAAACAGTGGATGTGCAACTTCTGATACTGTCACGGCCAATTGTCTAACAGTGATGTGCAACTTTCTCTCGTACCCCATGGATGTGTAGTTTTCCTGCTAGCACCCGGTCCAAACCTGCTAGTGAGATTTGCAACTTTAGCACTGTGTTTATATGCAACTTTTCACTACCCGCATGAATGTTTATTATCACCATTCAGATGTCCCTGCCTGTGACATGTGCAACTTCGTATGTTGCCCTGGCCAACTACCTAGTAGACAATGTGCAACTCTGTTTGTTGCTCCTGCCAACTGAAAATACATATCCACAAATAGAAAGGGGAAGGAGTTGCACACTGACTAATAGGCAGTTGGCTTGAAAAACAGACTAAGTTGCACATATCTCTTGCAGTGGGTGGGGGTAGGGCGTGCCAACACTGAAAAACTACACATCCACGAGTAGGGAAGGGGGTTGCACATTGACTACTAGATAGTTGGTCGGGGCAGTAGACTAGTTGCACATCAAAGTTGTCATGGTTGCTAGATTGCAAGCTCGCGGAAAGTTGAATCATGTAGATCCAAAAAATGGTTTTGAAAAAAGTTGCACGATGTAGTACTAAAGTTGCACAATACAATACTAAAGTTGCACTATATAGTATCAAAGTTGGCATCAAAGAAATTCGTCGACACATACCCGTGCGGGATCTAGTTTCAAATATCTCATCACAAAGGAATCCAACGGTGAAGACGGATCTGAATTTCGATGTGTGGTTTGTAAGATATGACTTTTTAAAATTTTGAAAACCAGAAATAAATATACGTGGATCTGTTTTTCCCTTCACATGTGACAAAATCTGGCAGCATTTAATGTCAGCAATCACATGCACTAGTGGACCAACCTAGTACGCATGCATGCGAGTGGAGCGGCCGCTCGTTCTCTTCAAAAGGTGCGCGTGCACTTTTAAGATTTTAGGAATACCGATTGCCGAAGTATCAAAACCGTACTTACGAACCAGTTAATTAAGCTATAACCGAAGGCGACTGTTAGGCGCCGGCGCACCGGCTGAAATTTCGGCCGGTCGGCCCCCAGCCGCACGATACGCGGGTCCTAGACCACAGGATTCCACCCCTCGCCCCCCACCTCGCGCCTCCTTCCTGCAACAGTTTCCCACCCTCCTGCTTCCTCGTCCCCCTCCCATGGCCTCCCCCTTGGAGCTCTGTGGCCACCGC